AGGGCCCAGAACTGAGTGTGGAAACCACCAGAACTGAAGATGTTAGATGCTGTTCTGCTCTCCCTTGTCATCCTAATTTTCTAAGAACAACACCAGAGATGTCAACATGGGTCTGTAAGTGATTTAGGAAAATTGCATGATGAACAGGGTTAAAAGAGGCACTAAGGTCAAGCAGAACAAGGGTAGACAGTATCCCTTAGTCCGAAGCCATGAGGAGGTCATTAGTCACTATCACCAGGACTGGTATTGCATGAAGCCAGAGGAAAAGGTTTGAAGTGCTTGTTTATTGTTAATCAGTCTTGCATTTGGGATGTTACCTCATGCTCTAGACCTTTGGATAGGAAGGGACAATTTGAAATCGGCCCAAAGTTTGATAGGATTTCAGGGCTTCTTTTAAGCAGATGTGGTACTGCAGTAAGTTTGATTTCTCAACAAAACACTTTTTTAAACACAATTTATTAATCACTATTTCAACAAAGGGACTACTTGGTGTGGTAGGAATGGGACCAAGACAGAAGTTCTTGGAGCGTATTTTACACACCATGTCAGTCACAGTGAGATACGCTGTCAAAACAAGCCAAAAGCACCACAAAATCACACTGTGTCAGTGATTTCACATATTGTTTACTTTGTTCTTGAAGGATAGAAAAAACACACTCTAACCAAACGGAACTGTTGAATTACTGAAGTGTTCTTCGTTGGCCAAGCCCTGGCATGGTTTTCCATCACGTTGACAGGTTACATAAGAGTACAGCACTTGTGTACTGGGGGACAGGGGAGAGTGGTATTCTGGTATCTCTTTCCTGCACCCCTCTTGGCTTCCTCAGTCAATGCACAAACGGCACAATGAAATAATACAATGGCCTACTTTTAAAATATGCACAGAATATTCTTATTAAAGGGCGGGTGATAGGATTTTCTTTGAAAAGTAAAGGTTGTATTCAAAATTACATTAAATAATGATAGAAAAGATATGCTCTACCACGGCAAGGCTCAGGAATTAAGACTCACCCTTTCTCTCAGGAGCTTCTGCGGTTTCCTTTCCTCTTGGGGCGGTCTCACCTCGATGATGGTCACTCCCCATCAGAAAGGGTCCACTTCACAGAATTGACAGTGGCACTGAGTCTTGAGGACTCCAGCACCGGCCGGACGGACATGAAGTGGAGACATGGTGATGGGACGCTAATGGAGCCAATCCTCACCCGAATCTGCACTGACAGGGCCCTCATTTACAGGAAGAGGTTCCACTGAATTGATAAGAAGCCGGGAAACTCAACTGAAACACCTCATTCAAGCGCAAAAAAATAAATAAAAAAAAAACATTTCTTCCATTTCTGATGAGTGGTGAAACGCCAGAAAAAAGACAGAGAAAAGAGGCCTACAAATGCTTTGAAAAGAGCATTTATCCAATTCTCTTTAATTTAGGAGTTCTACTTCGAGAAGGATGTACTTAAGCCACACACAACCCATCAAACTAACACAATTAGCATCTATGTTTGAACAAAATTATTCTTAGTGTTACAATAGTGATAATGATAATTCAATCTTTGAGGGCACAATCTGAGTGTGTGAAGAATAAGGGCCTGTTACAGGAAAACTTTTTTTTATCTGAAGTGAAGAGGTCAGCAGTTCACGTTTCCTTTAATATAGAACTGCACGTATATGACCCCAATATTAAACACCACAACAAAATACTTAATGTTAAGTCTGGCCTCAAGATAGCTAAGCAAGGGGGGATGCTTTGTGGAGTTTTTTGGTGTTAGGGACAGTTAAAGAGAGTCAAGAAACTGTTTTCAACTGGTTATAAAATTGTAAGCTTGATTTTGTGTAAGCTTAATAAGCTTATGAGGAAAATAACACTCTTTAAACAAGTATGAGAATGAATGAAACAAAAATTCATACAGTGCAGTATATACAGTGCTGCCATAATAGTGATAAAAAGCTTTCTAAGTGGAGTACAACAGGAGTTGTTCTCTCCACTTACATCCAAAGGATACTCAATTACAATTACAAAGGGCTGCTGCAATTCACAAGTCACTATTTTTTTTGTGTGTGTCATTTGCTGAATTTAACATGCACCCAACCCAGGAGGAAACTAAAGACGAAAATGTGTGAGACCAGACCAGACAAAGGTGTGCATGAAACATATGATTACCCCACGTATGAGAACAAAATGGCATGAAAAAAGCCCAAGGCTGTGGCTGACATGTTAACCTATCTAACACACACCACTTACACATCTGCACTTTGCACCAACACCGACCGGTGTTGCATTTCAAAAAATAAAATAGAAAAAAGGCAGCTCAGTTGCAGTGCAAACAAGGGCCAGCTATAATGAATAGTCACACTGTTCCTCATCACTCAGGGTGGGAAGAGATCTGTTAGTGTTTGAATGGGAGAGATTACGGCCCACAAAGCAGAGTGACATGGGTGAGGGCTCACGATAAAGACAGGGAGCAGGAACATGCAAGATGAGGACAGTACAATGTAGTTGCACACTGTATTAAACACCCCATTTAGGAGTAACTTCCCTATCATGTAATATGATAGATACTGTAAATATGATGCTTATTCGTTTTTCAGCTAATCACACACTTGCAGAAATAGAAGATTCCTGGATTTCCTCTGAAACCACTGTGATGATAAAAATCAGTGACGTAGCATTATGCCCTTTCAACTTCTACATATGTTTACATAAACCAGAAAAAACAGCATTGGAGCTGTGGTGGGAGCCCTCAGCTGTCCGTCACAAATTCTTTTTAATTCACTAAAAAATAAAGACAAAAGGCATGGCCATAGCATTTTTTGGTGAGCTGTTCTATGGTTTCTATGTATTCTTTTGAGATCTGCGCAAGGGAAACTGAGGCCAGACCTGGTCCACTGAGCTCTCAGGGGCCTGATCTCACATGACTCACATCCTACTTCACCAGATGTGCCATTTCAAATAGGCATTCATGTGCTCTTGTCCCAGAGAAAAAGCCAAGAAATTAGATATTTTTTTTAATTGCAGATTTTTTGTATGACCTATTCCTTATGCCTATCCAGTTATTACATTTTTTTTCATAGGAGAAATCAAGTTAAAAGAGAGCAGACTTAAAGAAATAAGTACAAGGCACATTGATTTCATTGACATCAACGTTTCAATGTGGTGCAGCCATTGGTCTTCTTTCTGTATAACATTTTGGCCTCACCGAAACAGAAACAAAACAGGTAATTTGAGCATGCAGATAGCATACTGTATATGATTTAACAATCAAAGAAAGGGCTGCTTCCTTTGCCTATAGAGTGAAAGTTCCGTCTGCAGATACAAAGCAAAGTGCCGCTTCACAAACACTGATAAGAAGGTCACATGCTGTTGGAAGGGTCTGACTATTATGAGGTTATTACCTTGGAAACGGTGCTCCTGACTCAGAATTTCAGCCATGCAAACTAGTCACACTATTGCACCAAAAAAAAAGGCAGGCTTGAATTAAGAAGGGAGACTGATACGGTTTTATCAATTCCTTGGCTTGGCTATAGCACAGTTTTTTCAATACAAAACAAAACTCCCATCAAACATGAGAAAACGCACAAGTTATAAAAACCAGAGAGGATTTCACACATCTATAAAAATTGTGGTTTTCAATATTTCTATATGCTTCATAAAAGTCCTGAAAAGTAAAATAACCTGAATGGTGGTGGAAATGGGTGGCAATCAGAGGCAACAGTACTTTCCTTCTGGACATAGCTCTTGCTGCAGTACTTCCTTTCATTGTAACTTCTATATCCAGTACCCAACAGATACGCAATACAGGTACACTTGACCATTAATTTTCAATTCTGAAGAAGTAAATATCTCAGGAATGTTACTGCTCTGTCTTAGACATCTCTTTGTCTTTGTTCAACTTATTGTACCTCAAAGAATACATAGGTTATTCTGTTCATGAACTCAAAAAATAAGCAAAATAGCATTGACACATATATATATACCATTTTGAAATGCAAGTGGATATTTAAAACAGGGAAAAAAAAGATCTTGAAACTTTTTCAATATAAAGACAAGATATTGAATCGCGATATTGCCAAGTTTTCACCAGCCAACTGAAAATGCCCAAGTACTATCAAGCTGGTGTCCATGTGGACAAATTGTAGTCTTAGCTTTAAAAGAGATGAACATTCACTCTCCATTGAGGTGATGAACATGATGAGCAAATTATTTTGCACAATGCTAAAAACCATTAAACAATGAACATTTAGAAAGATCAGGAGATGCCAAAGAAACTCCCATCAATATTCTTTGCTGTAAACAGATTTTCTTTAAAAGTTGCTACTATATTGCATTGCATTTAAAGGACAGAAATATTCACAATATACTCATTTTTATACCTACTGTAAAGCACTTTGAGACACTACTTTTAAAAATAGTATATAAAATAAAGTTTATTACCATTATGTCTCAATTCTAGGAATTGTAGCAGAAACCCTAAAGGGTAAGGGGCAAAGCTCTACAGGGACAGGAAGCACCACCTTAAAAGAACAAGGAATGGATAAGGTGCAATAACTACAAGTGTGCAGCACAAGAGGAAAGCTAGTGCAGTGTACACAAGTCATGCAATAACCCCTTCACTCCTGCTGCCAAGTTGATAAAACTCCCCTTTCAAGTGTCTGTGTCCTATGGAGAGATGGACTTTGGAACATTTTGGAAAGTGTTGAAAACCTGCCAAAGAAATTGCATTACTGTTTCTAGATCAACAATCTGGATAGCTTGCTTAGCTCCATTTTACATTACAAATAGGCACTCATTTCTAATTAAAGACTTTAAACATACTTCTGCAAGCCAATTCCAACATTGAAGATATGCAATCTTCTAGGGGATGATCATGCGCATATGGGGAGGAGAGTTAATCCCAAGTTAAAAACCCAAGACTTACTGTAAGGAGACACTTAAAATGTTAATTCAATAATGAATGAGTCTTACTACAGCACTCGACTTGTATATTCCACACACAAAAAAATCCAGAGACTTTTCAAAAATGATTTTATTGGGAGAACTACAAAAATGTACAGTACAAAGTTTACAGTCTCACACTCAATTTGTAGTGAACTGACTCCCCAAAATATATATTACAACTCAAGTTGTCTTTTTGTCCGTTTTTAGTTACATTCAAAAAGCTTTACTTCTGATAAAGTAGTCCAAAAAAAGTACATAGTGCTCATCCTCTGTACCTACTATGTACAAACAAAAGTTGTTCTTTCACTCCCTCCCGTCCAGCAAGTTTGGAAGATTCAGACCTTTTAAATCTTAAAGGAAAAAAATGCTTTAAGGATTAGAGGAAAAAAAAACTATTGCAAAATCTGTTGCTCTTGGTTAGAAAAAAAAAAATCAAGAAGTGGTAACAACCTGATAAAGAGGACTTTAAACCCAACACTACATTCAATAGGCTTAAAAATATATATGTAGGAAAATACTTTATTTGGTTAATTTAATCTTAAGGCATGTATGTTTCAGGATCCCTAGAGGCACTAACAGAATAATACTGGGTCAAATTATTGCTACATTCTCTGGCACTTGGCTAGAATCACAGTGTGATCAAAAAAATATAAAAAATACTTTTTTGGTTAATTATTTTACTTGGGTTTTCTTTGCCACTTTTGAAGTCTGATCTTTAAAAAGCTTAAGGCTATTCTGTTGTGTTTGGACGGCCCATACAACATCTTTCAACTTTTACATTCTACAGAAATACCTAGAAATTTCCTCAACTACAACTTCCACAGCAACAAGACATGACTTCTTAAAACACAGAAATCACGCCATCTTTTTATAAACGTAAACAAAAACAAAATTAATGAAATAAATATTACATACAATCTCTTAAATTAAGATTTTTTTTACTCATTTACAATAAAATAACCAAGTGAAGTTACAAAAAATATATATTACTGTGAAAAGAACACTCCACATTCTGCAGATTAATAATGGCAATCATAATTTAAACATAATAAAAGAATATAGATCTATTGCTTCATCATACTTGATAAATACAGTATGGACAATTACCAATGTAGCCTATACTTTTCACAAGATAATAAATAAGTTAAATAGTTTTCATAGCAAGTTGTGCACCGCTATGTAATCCATCAAAACAGCTAAAAAAAAAAAATATTCAACCATCAGCAGTCATTACCCAAACGAGCTGAACTCAACAGTGCTTTTGGAAAAAGCAACAAACTGCACTAGCCAAATATGCCACTGTGTGGCGCTGTGAAACAGATCAAAGTTTTGGAATGGAAGTTTAAGGTTTATAAACAAAATAGTTTGAAAATATACTTATATATCAAGGCATATTCTTGGCAGGATGGTGGAATATTTCAGAACAGCTTACAGTCTTTCTTCGTTTAAAAAGTCTTGTTTTATATATGTGAACAAAAGCAGTTCACAACTTTTTCCTGAATGTGTAATTTGCACGGTAGACCTAACTTTACAGTTGAAGTTCTTGCAAAGTTCTTTTTATCAGAGATGGAATGCCTTCTGTTGATGTACTTTTTTATACTTGAAAGAAAATCTAATGCCGTCTCAAATGTTTGGGAATATTTCCTAGCGTTTCACCAACATTCGTTTTAACGGTTCGCATCTTTCGTCTTAAGGGTGTTAAAAGTTACACATTGTTGGGAAACTCAGGAGATGGGAAGGTGGGGTCTTTTATAGTCGTTTCCGTCCCCATTATTGCAAGCACAAGTAGGGCAATTAATCATCTGAAATCGACAGCCTGCTGAAGATTGGCAAACGCCTTCCTGCATCCAAACTGGGCGACTCGGAGCCGCTCAGACTTCCTGAAGAGCTCAGGGACCCGCTCACGTAGCTCTCCAGGTCTGAGAGAGAGTCTGGGGGGCTGGGAGGCGAATCAAACACCGGCGACTCGGAGAGACGGCGCAGGGACTGCAAGTGGCTCATGTTGTACGGAGGCGAGGGGGGGCAGACGTTGGCCTGAAGGTTGCCGTAGTAAGCACTGTTAGACGGGTTGGCATACTGCTGGGTATGGATTGCCAGGGGAGCAAGGAGGGTTTTCAGCTCCTGACCCGGGAAAGAGAAGGCGCTGTTCACACAAGACATGGAGGTGGGCGAGAGCACGTCCTCGTAGAGGTTAGAGGAGCAGGAGGACGAGGTGGAAGAAGGCGGGGGGGTGCGGGACGTGGGGCTCTCGAGCAAAGGCGACTCAAGTCCGTGGTGACTGGAGAAGCCCGAGAAGCTCAGGCTGTGGTGCAGCTTTGGTCTGTCCCTCTGGCTGTAAGCGGCGTGCTGCTGCAGGATGTCCCTTTGATGGAACCCGCACAACTCCCTGGGGGGCTTGGGGTCGCTCTGCAGCGCGCTGCTGTTCGCGTTACTGGGCGCCGGCCTCCTCTCGTCGGCGTTGTGTATGAAATGACAGCGAGGGCCGTAGGGGCAGAAGCCAATGGTGTGAAATGTGCGGCAGGGCTCGGTTTTGTACTTTGGATGACGGGACAAACTCCTCAGTTCGTGATATCCGTGGGCGAACTGGCACTTCTCCCCGTACTTGCACGCCCCGTTCTCCTCAAAGGGCCTACACAGCTCCGTTTTGTAGCGGGTGGAGTTGATCTGCGAGCCGGGTTTCTGCTGCGCGACCTGGATGTGCTGGCTGCGCTCCCCATTCTCGCTGTAAGCTCGGTCTCTGAACTTGTTTTCTTTGTTCATAATGGCAGTAGTAGTGGTGCTGCTGCTGCTTGATGTGCTGTCCTTGAGGTTGCTGTATGGAGTGACCGGATACTTGTTACTGTTGGCCAGCGAGTCCAAGTTGCTGGTCGAGTTCCGCCGGTAGAAGCCCGGCGTGTAGCTGGAGCAGTTTGCGGTGCTGGAATTAATTACTGGAGCTCCCACCGCCTTCTTATCCAACATGCTGTTCAGGTGAATAGCATTCATGTTTAGGGTTTTCTCGGTTTGCTGTAACAGAAGGCAGCGAGAAACAAGTTTAATAAGTCGTTAAGTCAGTCAATCACTTTGCAAAGCGCTAAACGGTGCAACTCGCATTTTAAAACATTAAAACGAAGTGCCAGTATAACAATTCCTAGACAGAATCAAAGAATGTGGTGACGATTTCCTATAAAGACACGATTAACAAAACATTCAGTAAAGGCTACATTGTTCTTTAGGTAATGACAAATGCAGTTACAAAAGATCTTCCAGTGGGTAAAAAGAAACCTCAATTACCTTGCACAGCATCTCGATGTCATAGAAAGCGGAGAGAATTGTTGCAGACATTTTTCTATTTCTCTGTTTTCCTGTGGCAGTCGCAATTTCATGGAGGATCAACCAGGATCCTAACTGGGTAGCTGCAACGTTTTAAAAGCCACGACTGGTGCCGATCAAACCGAGCAGTCGAGAAGAAAAGGTGAAATCCCAGATTCTGCTCCGGTGGTACTTGCAGAGCAGACGGGGGGAAAAAAAAAGTTTGTTGCGTCTTTGAGAACAACGCCGAGCAGACAGCTAAAAGCTGTGGCTCGCAGCGCACACATATAAATGCTTCGCAGCTGCGTGCTGGGAGGAGTTCTGCAGTTGCGAGCAGGTCCAGGCAACGCCCCCAGTTTAGAATGTCGCAACAGGACTTATTGGCTGGTTACCACCTAGTTTTTTCCCTGTGCGGCTGGAGCTCTGACTCGTCTCCAGTCAGTTTCCTTCAGAAACAGAACAGGGTGAACTCTGGAGAGTCGGATGACTAATTCATAATCCTAGTCTCAGTTTTACGATAAGAGTTTTAGATCATTGCAAGGTTGGATCCCTTGCTGTTATTTTTTTAAAATAGCCCCCCCCCCCAAAAAAAAAAACTTATTCGGGTTTTCACTTGAGTGCAGTATCCGATTGAAACTTTCCATTACTTTAAACGTGTGCAAGATCTACTCGGTGTTTTGCTCTTCCTAAAGTAAACCAACATTCCCTACCGTAGTAGAAAATCAACAGGTTTTTTGGTGCAAACTAGGACTGAACTACAGTCAATTAAAACAAAAATGCATTTTTCGTGGACTGATTCACTTTCAAAGTACAATAAATATTTTGTAACTGCAACTAGATCACAGGGTCCGGCTGTATATTCCTTTCCACAAATGTTTAATAAACGTCTTTTTAAATTTCTAGGTGTTTCGCTTGAGTTCTACGACTAGGTTAGCTAAAAGCGTGCAATAAACCACAATGACGGCTTTCGGTATTACTGGAGAAACGAAAGCGTTACAGCCAAACCAAATGAATGTTTACTCTAGACTAGTAAACAAGGTGATTCATAAAAAGATTTTATGTCCCCAAAATCAGACACCGCCGTTGTGTTAAAAAAGATTAATCATTTCACACTTCGGGAAGCAATTCTTTTATTGCAAGCAGGAGAATTAAAAGAAATAGTTCGTTTTCAAGTTTCGTGCAGAATGGGGTTCTGTCTTAGTCGCCTTTTAGGCACATGAAAAGTGGATTTTTTTAGGAAGCGGTAAAATGGATCTTTTTCACCTCTTAAGCTTCATTAAAAGCTTCATTAAAAACTACGACGTTGACTAGACCATTAGACAGGCATTTTTTTAAAAAAAAGTATCACCAGGAACATGTCGCTCTCGAAGAATACCTAAATCTCAACTACTACTATGTTAATACGAACTAACGTCCTTTCCACATTTCACATGATCGTTTCAGTAGCCTGTCATCAATGTCAGGAATCGCTTTAAGACACTGGGGTCGGGCGGGCTTTCCGATTCCGTAAAAGCATTAGATGTTTAGTCAAAAGAACTGCAAAAAATGTGACTATAAAAAATATAACTGTTTTTGTAGTGTCATGACAATTAAACAGCTGTTCATTTCCGCAGACCACAGTGTAAGAACGCCACATGAACAACACACAAGCCTGAGCTGCTCTCATGACGCGGGTGACCATGAAGAATTAAGGTGTTCAGATTTCCTTTTGGTGAAGCTAGTTTCGGTTTTTGATCTGAGGTTTAAACTGTTAATAATCGCACTTTGATGACAAACTAGAAACCAGAACTCCGCCTTTAACTTGTCACGTCTACTCTCGCTTGCTTGACAGACACACCGGACAGTCAGTGTATGTGTATCTAAGGGGGGTAGGGGGTGGGTACTCACATTACAAGCATGATTCGCAGCAGGATTCATCAGAGGACTCCGCTGATAATAGTCTGAGCTGTTTGGACACCTAAAGTGGAAAGAGGTGGTTTGACATAAGCCTACTTACACGTTATGTTCACGAAATCAGTAACTTGCATAATCCAGGTATCATCAGAAGAAAATCCACATTGCATCCACCTGTAATATAAGTGAAGACACGTATAGCAACAGAATTGCCACTGCAGAGAGCTGGGCTTCAGAAGCGCTGCCCTAATGAGGTGTTCGCTGACACCTGACCGCTGTATTTATGTTTGACCGACTGACCTGCGCGTAGCTGCTCATCATATTTCACGTATGAATTTACTAAGTGCCTCGTTTGGTTCACTGCAGGAACTTCAAATGGGCTTCGATTCGCACTCGGGTTACCGTGGTTGTTGAGTGTGGGGAGTCAACAAAGTGTCAACGCAATAACAAGTTAAAATGAACACACGTAGGAAACACGTAAAATCATCACCAATCAACTAACAATTACTCGTATTGATGAAAACTGTTTTTATTCTGTTTTTTTTTAATTTTTGATTGAGAAGGAAACCAGTCATCTTACTGTTATTATTCTAAGGCGGGGGGTATAAAACGTTTGCATGACAATACAAAAACCACGCACAGAGCCAAGTGTACGTATTTGGGATGACACGCTTTGTTTTTGAATTTTAAACCAACTTTTTACTGCCAAACCTGTCGTGTTTGAGTACAAGAAATTTACCTGTAAAGACAACCCAGCTTCAGAAGCATTTTGTCCCGAAAGGAATTTAGTATAATGGAATGCCAGGCGTATCTTACTTAGTGATACAACAGCGCCCCCTTGTGCTGAAATTGTAATTTTATTTAAAGTCTCAAACGCATTCTATTGTAAATTCATACATACGAATACATTAAATGCGGTGATTAGTGTTTAAAATCATTGCTACTATTCAATTACCAATTTCTTCCTGTTTATCATATTTGATTTACTATTTAATATTCTGAAGATATAAAAATGACATTTAAAATAATGAAAACGGACGTTTTTTTCGATATCAAATAGGATAATTATAATCCATCTCTTCAAATCTGTCTTTAAAAGAACACGTTTACCTATGTGATGTGACCGGTATTGCTCTGAGAAGGTTTTTTCTCCAGATCTGCTGCCCCAAAACAGGAAGCTTGTTCCATTGTGGGCTGCACTGCCCCCTTCCGGATAGTTTCCGAAACCTTTTTGACGACTGTACAGCTTTTTTTTAGGTCAAACTGCGCGTAAGGAAAGGGAAACTGATTATCACGTGGGAAGTGTTATATCACCTGTAAGTGTCAGTTTATCAATGAAGACAATTATTTATCCAGGGTGTTGTGAGAACTGCTCTTGGTGAATGATTCAAGGACTCCCAATATGCTCACAATTATGTAAACAGTCCTTAAAAACATCAACCACACCTCCATACAAATCATAATAAAATATTTTGTGGCAATAGAGGACACTCCCTCATTGACCTCAGTATGCTAAAATATAAAAAGATTCAGAAACCTTCTAAACTGTGAATCATATTTTTTCCTATGGCATTATAAGTGATGTCTGAATGCATGCTGTTTGTATAGGTCCACTTCAATATCTCGAAAATAAAAAAGACTGTTATTACTACTGGTGGTACATTTCATTAGAGAACAGCACAGCTTTCAAAAGCTCTATCAGAGTTGGCTGGCGTTGCTCAAGGGAGTGTATCTGTCAGAGTCTCACAGTATACCCATGCTATTTCTGGGTACCACAATATGACTATTTTTGTTTGTCACATATAACAATTTTGAAGCATTTCTGTCACCATAAATTACCAGTTCCTGTGACTTCAGCTACCACAAAGCATCCTTTTCTTGGATGATTAGGACGTTGAAACTATGAAATAAATCTTTTTCAGTATGTTTCTGGAGACACATGGGCTATCCTTTTTGGTGTTTAGTTCCTCTTGCTGCCCAGGTCAGGGCACTGAGGTCTAGCAAAGAAAAAAAAAATAAAGCAAAACAAATGACAAAACAAGCTGGTATTTACTTAGCCCTCAATTTTGTGTTTGAATTACGCTGTGAAAGCACTTTGAAAAAAATCTTGTTTAGGACAGGCCTTGTCCCGAGACTGAAACATCTACAGAACACCCCAAACCATTGTACAAACCCTGATCTGCAAAACCACTCAACCATTAAACTGGCCATGTTTTTACTGGGGTAATGCAACCATTCCAATATATCACGTCACTCTACAGTTAAGGAAGATTACTACTACAGCTCTGTTCTTGCCAAGTCGCCTAAGCAGATTCACATGCATTGAACACTGAGGCTTTGTGATGTCTTCTGTGCTCAACCAAAGCTTTTGGGGTAAACACACTCTGTTTACATTTTCTCCAAGCCATTTTAATGTGAACCGTTATTTCCTGTTCACCTAAAGGCAGGCACTTTTTTCTTCTCTGCAGAGAATGAGAACCAGTAATGAGCTATCCCTATAAATAATTAACTTATGGACACCTTTATAATGCACAGAAATTAAATTCAAATCTTTCTTTTAGGATTTGTCTTCTTTTGAAAATCCAATTTTAATTACTGACCATAAGCATTTTTGGGGGACTACATTGAAACCTCTCATATTCATTTATCTGTAAATTAACAAGCTCAATTGTATAAATGCCTTAATACACTACTTCCTAATGCCTTCTGTCTGGACAAATAAATTGCTACACAAACTGACTCTGTCTTCCTCTTTCATGGGAGGCTCTTGATCTGTGAAAAAAGTGAGTAGTGCTTCACCAAAAACATGAAAATGCTGTACATTCAAAATCCTCTGAAAACAAGGCACCCAGAGGGCTCTGCTGTTAAGGAATTTCTAGAGCATTTCCTGATCTGACACTGTTAGGCAAACAGAATATGAGCAAAACCCAAACCAAGTGCAACAGCTAAAGCACCTTTCAGCTGTTGGGTTCACATACATCCTTTTAATAAAAGCTTTTATGCTGCCCCCATAGTCAGTTAGACTTTAAATGTTCTCTTGTTTGCACTACAGGCTAAAGATAAATATTGCTAAATAACTCTATTAACAAAAAATAAGTTACAATATAATGTGTAATCATTCAGAATCTTTCCTGTACACTGGGGTTTCAGACTAAGCTGTGTAAACATCATAAGCAAAGCCTTTCCAGAGGTTAATAAATAACTGTAGGTCCACTGGAGACTCAGTAATGTGGTTTATTAAATTCTGCAGAAATGCACTTAAGTGAGCTGTGCAGGCCATTAATGCTAACAGGTTTATACTGGTATTTTATTGTTCTTACAGCATGAATCTCATAAACATGGACTGATGAACACTTCTGCTTCTCAGCCTTGCAATCTCACTCTCCTAGATTAGACAGCTCAGAAGTTTGACGTCTCGTCCAAAAGATGGTACCTCTTTGAGCTAGGGACAGTCACTATATTGGGGGCAGGGGCTGCAGTGTCTGTATATTGCTTGAGATATAAAAGGAAATTATCACTGACAGTTAAGGGGCTCTAGCTTTCATAAAAATATCAAATGAACACTGCAGTCTGATAAAATCACACATTAAAAAATGACAAATTATAGCTGGTTAAAATCACTTAAAAATGCAAAAGTTTAATATGGAACCAAATTCTAAATTTTAATGACAAATTGTATTATAAAAATGTTTTTTTTAAAAAACACTTTGCTTACTGTATTCCCAGATACAATATTTTAAAACTCCATTTTGAAAATAAAGGGATTCAAACTTCACTTATAGAACTGAAATAAGAATGTTAGATGGTAAATATTGTTTCAAACCTGAGGTGTAAAATATTCTACATATATGTCATCTGACTTTCTTATTTCTGTAGACATACAACACAGGTAAACCTTCTATTACTTTGAGCAAGATGTTCTGGAACTACGCTGGAAGAGAATTCCCCATTCGTGGTTAAAAAATGAAGAAAAAAAAAGCTTGAAAATAAAAGCGTTGCTGTGACAACTGTGGGTTTCCTTTGGGTTTTCCAAAGAGGTGAGGCTTTTGCTTTGAAGCCCCGAGCAGCCAGAAAGGAGAAACTCCTAGAGCGTCCGGGGAAATAGCCAGTTGTGCTGGACTTTACTGTCCTTCATCAGGACAGTGTGGCAGGTCTGGTAGCCTTGAGTGTCTCCAGCGCACGAGCTGTCCTCTCTCTCTGGATGGTGAGGCGAGTGAAATCCGCACTGCTAGAGAATTGTGGCTCCGGCGGCAGGGCCTGAAGCAGACAATCCGAGGTCTGGGCGAGGTTTCTGGCAAGTCCGAACAGCTGGACCAGCTCCTCCTGGATGCCTGAGAGAGTCCCCGGCACACTGACCAGGCCGGACAGGTGCTTGTCCAGCAGCCTCACCCAGAGCAGCCTCTCAGCCCACAGATTCCCCTCGCCCTTCTCGAACAGGAACTCATCTTCATCCTGGGGGTGTGAAAGGGGTGGCACACTGCCGTCACACTGCAGTTTCAGCCATTTTTAATTCTATAAGCTCCAGGCACTAGATGAACAATCAACATCATATGCGAAATGTTTCATGTTTTTCACTCTAAACTTAAATTCGGTAGAGAAACACTTTAGGATAAGAAACTTATATTTGATTTTACATTTTAGCCTGCACATTAGTGCTGTATAAAAGCCCTGGTAATAGGAAAAATATGGACTTGGTTAAAAATGAAGGCATTTAGAGTTTTATTCCATTTCTCAGATCAGACAGCAGTAAATTACACTGTTGACAGCCTTTTCACTTTCTGACCATCCCACACTCGTCTCTCCTGGATAAATGGAATAACCACCATTACGAAAGCTTAATATTGACAGAAATAAAAAAACTATAATAGCCAAAACTATAACACTCCATATAACATATACAAACTGAAAGACGTTGGACAGAATGCTGGAGGCTCCACTATCAACCATGAGTAAAACTGGTGAAAACCTACTCACTTCCAGTATCAACATGAGTAAAACTGGTAAAGACATACTCACTACAACTCCGCTATAAACCCCAAGTAAATTACTTCAACTTACTTCAGTCAATGTCTATACCGCTGCTCTGTTTTTGCAACAGTCCTTTCATTTTTGATGCAGTGGATGTTTATATCAAGAAGACAGATGAGGAATTTACCCCTGATGCCCCTCCCATCCCCGCGCAGTGAACCCCAACCTCCAGCACAAAACCCCCTTACCAGGACCCGGCCATCCTCTGCCTCTCTCTCGGGGTCGCCCTCTCCCAGCAGCCACTCCGCCAGGATGAGGACACCTGCAGGGGCTTCCTTCCACATCTGGAACAGCTGGCACAGCAGCCCCAGTCCCAGGTCCAAGGCCAGAGCTGGACATAAAGCTGAGGGGGCAAAACCTGGAAGAAAGGACCAAACCCAGCTGGGAGGAAGGAGCTGAACTCCAGTCAACCACTGCGGAACGGCCAGGCTTCGGGCAGACTTCCTGCACACACACTCACACAACGCCCCAAGCTAGCGAACACGGATTCCACACGCAGCAAGAATAGAAACAACATTCAGAGTAAACTTACAGGACAGCGGTGCAGCACGCGTTATTTAGTATTCCATTACAACTTGCGTTCTCACTGCGTGTGCAGCAGTCAACTGGTGACAAAACGAAATGAGGAAAAACAGATTTTCTCATTTTGCCTGCTGACAGCCGTGGTTTCCAATCCTGGTTCTGGAGGAACATTAAGACTACTTGTTTTTATTCCTGCTTAGCGCTACTTATTCAATGCTAAGTGATGACTTAGCTGATCGCCTTGCTTGCTTAGGCTTTTATTTAACTTGTTTCTTCGGTAAGTCTTGAATGTTAAAAATACACAATTTGATGATTTACACAGCATTGCCTCAGCTCTTTTTAATTGATGATGAACAGATACAGTAGGGATGACACTATCAGACACTCCCACAAAAAGCTTTTCTTTCTATAGAGATCAAATTGCCTACATTTCAGGCACCACACTTGAAAAAGGGTTATTCTGAAACATGGCAACAGGGTATAGGGTTGATACCAATTACAAATCATATTTATCCTTTTGAGTGCTGAAAATCAAATTATATACATGCCTGAAATCGATAACCGAAATCAAATAGCCTTTGCTTAAGAAGTCAATATAAATCAGAAGACAAGTGTTCCTGCAGGACCTAGACTGGGAACCACTGGCTTACAGTACCTAAACCCACAAAGGCAGGCTTGTAATGAGGAAACACAGGAAGTGTGACTGCAGCTGTGATAACTGGGAAAGGATCCTCTGCAAAGCTCCACACAGACATGCATCTGCTCTTCTTGTTGTCTTCTGGCTCAAGGTTTTATAGCTCCAGTTGTTCATGCACACTTCAAAGTGTCCCCCTGCCTGATGACACGTAGAAACCATTTCTGTGGATTTGATGTTAGTGTGAGATACAACTAGATAAAGAAATAACCACCCAATTAGTGTCTTTTGTAAAGTCTGAGAGTAAAAAAACTTGCTCTTGTTTGTTATTACACAAAAGCACAAATAATGTGCACAAAGGTATGGGCTTATAAGGAGGACACAAGAAATGCAGCATGATTTTTCAGAAATACCTGGTTAGCTTCTGTATTACATGCATAAGGAAGACCTTTGACCTTTGCTTAGTGGTCTTAAAACCTAAGAGCTTTAAAATCCATTTTTATTCTTTCATTAGCCCAAAACACTTGGTATTAGTTTAACACAAAGCTCTAATGATCATCTAGTCACCGCAATATACAAGACTTGGAAGAAATCCAAAGTCTTTAAAATATAATAGTACAGGGAAGGTGCTTTAAATATTCTTAAATTTCACTATTCACAGAAGTGCTTTCCCTGTAATTCAGCATCTTATGCAGTTTTGTATATTAGACGTTTTGCACTGTTGTTAAATCGTTCATCTGCTCTTCAGTGACTCAATGCCATTATCTTAATGCCAGGGGATCAGCTTTCAGTTTATTAGAAGCTTTGATTCAATTGAGCATGCCAAACAGGACTAGTCACAGGCCAAACCACTGATGGGAACAATGGGGATCAACAGCCAGGACTTAGTGAATTCCTGTGCTTTTCCCATTTCCAGTGACAGCGCAGAAGCAGGAATACGAACAGGTCAAACTGTAGCACAGAAATGCACAGTTTTCAGGGACACATTCATGATTCACACAAGAGACCCTGAACTAGGCAATAACTCTGAAGCTCCTTGTTTTTCCACTGTCTTTGAGCTAAATGTGAAAGAAATGTTTGAAACTGAAATGGAAATTGGATTAAAAAGGCACTTCATGACCCTTCAGGCAGTCGTGTTTCCAGACTGAAGTAAACTGTTTTGCAACTGAAGTAATTGCTCATCTGGGTTGATTATAAATTACAATCCCAGCTTTTTTCTGACATGGTAGTTCTGGTATCAGTTTAGAGACAAGGTCCAGTTTTTCCCAGTTTATATGTAACATGTGATCCAATTCACTGGGAAGTAGACAGCTAATTCCTGTAATTGAGCTGTGGGAGCCTTGGTCTGGAACTAACCAAAAACTATTAAATAACGAAAGTGTACTTTCTTGGCCAACAGATCTGGGATTTAAGAATTGCAGCTGAAGGCTATCAGGTGTCTGAGGCTGTAAGTGAAATTTTAAGGCAGACAGTCCCATGAAATTGGAGAAATTTGGAAACTGCTGTGCTTAGGGCAGCCATTCTTTTCCCATCAGTACACAATAAAAGGTGTGATATTATGTGTTTTTTTCTATTAGATGTAGCAGTGCAATAACTTACACCAGTGCTCAAGAACAGCTAACTTTATGAGAATATATAAAGCACTAAATTCTGCCAGTGGACATCAGAAGGACCACAGGAATCCCAGTCCAGACGTGTGCCTTATTTCCCCAATCACAAACAGATCATCCCAGCAAGTCTCTCTTGTTCAGTGGGATAGCATGTCTCCTAAACAGGGACCCTGTTGCCATCTGTCAGGGCTTTCAGCACCCATGCAGCCCTAGCCCTAGCTGTTTACACCGTACTTACAATTACACAGCACTCATATTCCCATGATCACAATCTCAACAATGCCCATGGGTTTGTGATATTAAAGTGAAAGAAACTGGATTGTCAACTATAAGCAATGGCATTTGAATCCTGGGTAATTTGGAGGAAACATTTGTGGTAAAACTGACTCTTTTAGTCCTAAAAACAGAACAGTTCACTTAAATCTGGTAAATTGTGTCGCTCTCTAAGCACAAATTGTTCACGCTTTTAAAAAGCAAGCCAATGACGCAATTGTCAAAGAATGTCTACTGCATCGATACTACAGCTCGGGCCTGTTCATCCTCACAACTCTTGTAAAGCCAAGCAGAGTTCACTAGAAGGCGCATCAAGAAGCATTTCAGCTGCCGAGCAATTCAATTGCCGTTAGAACCTTACAAAAGTTTCTTTTAATTTCCTTTCAATAGGACATCCACATAACCCCAGAATTTATATTTGTGTTACGTTTTCACATTGCTCTGCATTGCTATTATTTTGTTGTTTCCCCCCATCTTCTTCTCTCCAATTACATGCTGTGGGCAGAAGCCATCGAGCAGCCCCCCTCAGCGCTCTCTGCGACGTGTCCCTGGTGGCTCTGCTGTGATGTGTGTAATGAGGGGTCCCGGGCATCTCTGCAGTAATGACACCTTACCCACCCATCCCTCTTGTTTGGGCCTGAGCCGAGACAGCCTCCAATTAGGAGGTCACAGTGGCTGCCAGGGACACAAAAACCCAGGGAAGACTTCTGGGAACCCAGACAAGGCCAGCCTTTGGTCAGGATGTTGCATAGGTACTGAAAGAAATGTGCCAAGGTGTGAATGGAAAACACTGGTTTATGGTCTTCACTTTCTCACACCGTCCTGCTGAAGGACAGGGGCAGCTTGGGTCCTAATCGCCTTTCGTGGCATCAAAGGAAACAAAGGAAAAGTTCATTTACTTTAGAAACGGCTTCGCTCACAAAAATGACAAATCCACACCGAATACCCAAGTGATCAGACACAAGCACTGTAAAACAACAGATTGTGAATTTTGTTTATGGTCAGATATTTTTTCTTTTTACAAAAAATCTACAAGATTTACTGGATAATGCAGCTTAATGTCTGTTGCTCATTTAATAACCACAGTATGTCTCATAACAAAATGTCTTTGTAAGGGACAGGTGAGGCACTAGAACATTCCCTATTTCCTCTGGAGAGGCTGATGTTGCCCTTTACTCAGGTAGAAGGCATCTGGGTTTATGGACAGATTTGATCAATGGTAAGAATTTTTCTGAGGATATGAAAACAGGAAGGCAAGGCCTCATCTGCCCCTTACCAAGAAAAATTAACGTTGTTATGAGAGAATACTGTAGGGTCAGAACAAATCAAATAAACCATGTGAGCAACAGGTTTACTGGCAAGACCTCATTTACTGTGTAATATTTTGATTACCGCGATTAAAAAAAGACACTGCAGCTCTGAAAAATGTCACGAGAGACTAGTCACTAGAAAAATGACCTGGTGCATTCTTATACGCAGAAGACAGCTGTACTGAGACAGGCTAAGAATGAAGAGGCTTCACTGTGGTAGATCTTTTTCATCTCGAACAGAAAAGACTTGAAAGGAACTTGATTCAACTATTCAAAATCCTGAAAGGCTTAGATAAAGGTAACCCTATGGATGTCTTCAGAGTCAACACTGAAACATGAACTACAGGATTCAAATGGAAACTAAGAGGGAGTGTGCTTATAACTGAGAACAGGAGGCACTTCTTAACACAGTTCCAGTGGGAGTCTGGAACAAGCTCCCAGCCATGTTGTTGATGCTGACACCCTGCTTCTTTCATGAAAGGGCTGGGTGGGATCATTTAGATCACTAGGCTACTAAAGATCAAGCAAGCAAGCAAGATGAGGCAAATGGCCTCCCCTCTTTCATAACCTTTCATAAACTGGTCTTATGCTAGACTATGGCAAAAAAATAGTTGACCCACACCTAACTTAGATGCAATTAAACATTTATAACATTGATACTTTAATATGCCGCCTGACGTTTGGGAGATTACAGTGTTAACCCTCCTAAAAAGCAAATGTAAAATCATTGTGTTTCACCTGCTTTTTTAAGTGGGAAACTAAAAAGATGGGTGTGATGTTGGTTGCACACTAGTCAGAATGCAACATTTTAATATAGCAGTATAAAAACATCTGTAAAGCGCTATATTCCTATATGTACTGTATATAATCATGGTGTTATAGTTTTAAAGCAATGCCACTAATGAAAATGACCTCCGATAACATGCTATCATGTACAACCAAACACAACTGTGGTAAATGTGTTTGGTAAATATAAATTATTTATAACATTGTATTTGTATACTGCAAT